AAAGAATTCTTTTCCGTTCTTGCAATTCAAGAAGTACTAACTATATCCACCAAAAAAAAACCGTGAGTCGCGTCGACACTTTTTAAAACTCAGCTAGATTGTCGTGCAATAGCCGCAGTTACTGTCGCTTTAATGGTGAATTTTGAAGTTGCAGTTTTGCATATAGGCTCATACCAATCAAGCCTTCTAAGTTGGAACTTAATTCGCCCTTGTGATTAATAAGCACAATATGCGAAGATAATATTGCCATTGTTATTGTTTGATTATCAAAAATGGAACCAGACTCTTCTAATGATAATATACCTTCAGCATCAAGTATAACAATTGTCACGTCTTTATAATATGCAATACCTAAAACATAATTAAAATATAAATATCGTACATTTTTAAGAATCATAAATTTTATACAAAGTCGCGCTCATTGTATATGGCACTTGCAAACGATAACTGTCGGAGAATGCTTAAACTATCTAATTAGGTATCATCATGATGGTGGTGCATAACTAGAAATGAGTTCTTTTTGTATGTGTTGTTAAGATTCGCACCATTTCAGAATAGATGAATGACCAGAAATTAGCACAACTTTACGAGTTTTTAAAAAATGTTTCATAGGTACTTTAAAATTATTCATAGTTTAAATAAAAATCCTTTTAATTTCTACGTTCTTCCTGTAAGATGTTATGGCAAAAAGCTGAAAACAAAACCTCCTAAAAAAACCGAGACTTTTTGAGGGACGCACTACTGTTTAAATTTTTATTCCTTAAGAAAAAGAGATGAATAGAAAACAAAAAAAAGGAATCTTAGATATGTAATTTTTCTGTAAATCTAATGCTAAAATAACTTGATCTAAATATAAACAAACAAAAAGAGACAAATTATATATTACCTAAATAAACTCCAGTTGTACATCTTCCAGAACTAACACGAAAATTACATCCAAATGTACTGTTCAATAATGAACTGTTAGCTGATGATTGTTCACCAATAACAGTTAATACAATTAATCGACCAAAAACACGTAATTTTTTTATTGTATTTTCCATTAAACGACTTTGACTACATAATGGTCTCCCACGTAATATATGTATAGCAAAACCTTTATAAACTAATTGTGATATACGATCAGCTAAACGTTCAAACATATTTTGATATTTATCTAACATTGTTGGTTGTTCATCAAAATAATAATCATATAATTCATCAACAAATAAACCAATTGTTAAATCGACATCAGATAATTTTAAATCAAGTTTTACCATGTCATCTTTTAGATCTATTGCTTCATTACGTAATTGATTTAAATATTTTAATGTTTGTTCACAATAAGACTTTTTACCATTTTTATTTTGTGAATCAATTTGATCTTCTAAACGTTTTATATTTTTATCATGTTCATATATTAATTGTTTTTTCGTTTTTTCTTTTCTTTTTCTAATTTTAAATTAGGTACATATAATGAACGCCATTTTTCTAAATATATATCTGTTATTAATAATTCTATATATGTTTTATTATTAATTAAATTAATTATAAATTGTGTATATGATGTAAATGTTGTATATGTTTTACGTTTCTTTTCTAATTCTTTTAATTGTAAACCTAATTTTGATCCTAATGTTGATTCAATATCTTCACATAATTTCTTTTTTATTGTATTTATTTGTGCACGTAAATAACTTAATGGTGTTGCAATTGATAAATTTCGTTTTCTTTAATTGAAATCGAAAATAAAAATACTACAAAACTGTTTTCTTTGGCCCATCCCTTACTGGAATTCTGGGTACGTCGCTATACTGTTTTTCTGTCAAAGTGTACAACAAAACGAATTTTCAAATTTTTAAGGTAGACATACACTTTGTTTGTCATTAGAAACACTGTGGAGTATCCCTCTCTGAAGCTTGCTGTAAAAAGCTTGTTATTACTAAACCCAACATCGTATACATCTCATTCATATCCAGCGTTTCTAACGATTGGTGCCACCAATTTAGTGGCTGAGCATGAGAAAAGTGGTTTTCCACTTGGAAAATTCAATTTCCACTCTGTTTTAGCGGTGAAAACATAACAACTGCAGTGGTAAACTACGGAAAACCACTTTGCATTAAATTCTCATTACAGTTCATATCTCATTTTGACGAATGGAATCAGCATTCATTAACCAAATTACGTATATTTTCTTCAAAAACACGAGTTTTTTGAAGGAGATGAAGCGAATACCTCTCCTTGCGGATTTGTTTACTTATTTTTATTTCTTCTAAAGTACACTAGTTTACTTTTGATTGTGATTTTTCTATTTATAGATTCTTTTTGTTGTTGTTTGGCTCGAGTTATTATTATTATTATAGATCGGGGGCCTTTGATGACTCCCACCTTTCATGAATAAATCATTCATTAGCCGTTGACGATATAGGACGCTCTAAAACCATTTACAAACTTTCGAGCAAGCCAGGAGATTTATAAAATACTTCACAACAAAGAAGTACACTATTAGACGTATGATTGATGATTGGAAACCATTGTTTCACGGACTTTTAGAAACTGTTTTTGAAAAACATCCGCTGAACTCTCTGTAAGTCACAGCAACCCTTATTCACTATTCTTACAGATTAATATAAAGTTTACCTTCCAGTGTATGGGTGGAAACCAGCAGACAGATCAAGGAAAAAAAAATTCTCATACTCCCACATCAACAAGCATTTCTGTTCGTTTGTACTAACTGTCTTTTCTCTTCTCACGGCCACAAGTAAGAACATCTACTTCTTTCTTTCTCAAAGTGAGAAACACAGTTTTTTCATTACTGTGCATTTCTTGACAAACATATTGTTCACTTAATCAGCACAGAATAACTGTAAGGAGAATTTATTATTCTTCTTTCTTCGAACAAAACTGTACAAAAACAAAAGAGAAAGAGAGAAAAAAGTGCTAAGTGATTGTTTTATGTTTCGTCTCTCTTCTTATATTCGTTCGTCAATGGTGGCTTGTCAATCATCAGTGAAACCGGCGAGGAAACCCCCCACTGCTCCCCCAATTGCGCCGACCACTCCCATTCCGGCAGCGCCAGCAGCAGCTCCTACAGGTCCTCCGACCACAACACCGCCAGTTGCGCCGGCAGTAGCTCCAACGCCCGCCCCTACACCCGCACCCTTTATCGCCTTGGAAAAACCACTGGCCAGCTTTTCGTAAAAATCCGCTGAATCGAATTTAAGAGAAAAGTTTCTCTAACATAGAAAGACAGAAGAACATTAACTTCAGACATTACTTACGCATTTTTTAGCTCGTGTTTCTACTTCTGGTTTATTGGTACCGACAAACACATCTGAAAAGGGAAAGGGAGAGACAGTGAGAAGAGAAGACAAGTGAGAAGACTACATCCTTCGATCAAGACCATATTGCTAATCGATAATTTACGTTTTTTGGTCCTGGGATACACAGCAATAAAGGATTCATAAAAAACTTTCTCAAATATGAGGAAAGAAGATATATATATAAAGAGAAATTCCAATTGTATTTGAGCAATGATGTATCATTTTCTGCTAATATGGACCTTTTTTTGATCAAATATACCAACCGTTGGGATAGCAAAGAAATTTCTTATCTCGACAATATCACTTTCATTCGGCAAAAATAGCAATTATTTTTCAAATTGGCTCATATCATCAACCTTAAGCATATTTGAATCAAGTATATATCTTCCTCTCTGTTTTTGATATTTCGAGTATAAATATACGCATTCACTTTGTTTCTCACGTAAATAATTTGAGCAAGTGCAACTGATTGTGATCATGAGAGAAGAAGGGAAAACTATTGTATCGAGTGAGAAAATGTTTGTTTAAAGAGTTGTACTGACATCTTGCTTTGAAGTAATAATTCAAAAGATTCCACAAGTTCTAATGAGTATAACTATTATACTCTAAATATTTACGCGTAATTAAAAGTAAGATGTTTAAACAAAATTTACCAGTTAAATTGAAAGTCATTTAGCTTTAGACTAGCAATTCAAACTAGGGAATGAAAAATCACAAAGAACATTTCCGAAGTCAATTCACACATATTTTTCATATCTTTCGCAACTCTATTGCGTTTGGAGAAAAGAGCACGGGAGCATTAGAAGGCTTTTCTATCTACGATATTGGAAAAGTATAAAAACATTATTTTGTAACATAGAAACAGCTTACACGTGGTTGAATTCAATATATTTTGATAAACTAGTCCCACTAACACTCTTGGCGATCTGATGACTATAGTTATTCTTGAAAAACAAAGTAAAAAACAAATATAAACATCAAACTTTAAAAATTACTTTTTGCACGATTGCTCGACATTCGTCACAAACAAAAAATAAGCTTTATTTGAATAAGATAAGAACAAGCAAAAGAATAAGAGTAACGTATACATCGGCCGAGCAGATCAATAACGACAATTTTTTTTTCTCATTTTTTTCTTACAGTGTAGTCACTACAGATGTATACAATCAAATTTCAGGCTTCGTAATAGCAAAAACCAAAAAGTAGGAGTAGGAGTAGGATTTTTAAGTCCTTTATGGTAGGATTTATATCAAAAAGTTTTTTTTTCCTAACAAATGTGTAACTGTATCTAATCTTTGATTGACAGGGAAAATACTTTAATTTCGTATTTTATTAAAACAATTTAAAAATATTTAAAACAAATATATAAGACAATCAAACGTTTCGACCTCTTTTAAATTGAGATCTTCTTCAGTGAACTTAATAAAATATGTATAAAAACATATAAAAAATAAAACTATAGTTAAAATTGTTACATATAACGTGTGTAGCTTTAAGATTGTAATGTGACTGTTTCAACCTATTTCTTTACTGTCACTCGCCTATTTTTCTTTTAGAAAAGAAAAATAGGCTTTTAGCACAACACGCAGAGAAGCCGGGTTGTTTTGTTAATTTCAAAGAAATTTGAAAAGAAGAAATAGATTGAAAGCAAAACATAAAAGAAGAGAACACCCTCAGATGATATCTGTTGAGATAAAAAATTCTTTTTTTATCTTTATGATCTTGTTCGAAATTTTACAAGAATACGTGAAAAGTGGATCAATATTTCAAATAATATTATGTTGATAATGAAATCGAAATTTTAATATAAACTCAATCTCCCTTTTTGCCTGAGAATTTACTAAAAACAGAAAATTGAAAAAGTAGGAAAAGTAGGAGAAAATCCAGAAAGGAGGACATAGTAGGACGGTTTTATAGAAAAGTAGGAAAAGTAGGACGTTTGCGAAGCCTGAAATTTTAATGCGTTCGTTGAGCACACAATGCTTTTATCTTGTTGTCGTCCACCATGGACGTCCGAACCAACGGCTGTCGACTGGGTATGGCTCATTTTGTAAACCTATCTAGTTTTTTGGGTGAAGGGTTATACAGATGATTCACACATTATCAGATCGGCCAACACGCCAGTTTTAAAAGTATAAAGAGCTTTTCTCAAAACTCTTTTTCTTTGCTGAGCAAAATGGCTTTTACTGAAGACCAAAGAGAAGCAGAGAGGAGATCTTTGGAAAACCAGTCCATCATATTCATAAAAACGATCATTTTATTCATTTGCTTCGTGTGTCTCTTCCTCCATCACAGGATAGCCCACGACAGCTAATGCATTTCGAATGTCTGTGTGTAAGGTTTTCGAGGTTCTTGAGCGATGATCCAGAAGAGGTGAGACCAAACTCATCCCTAACTCCTCAAGGAATAAGCGACGTTTATATCTTTTGTTTTCATTCCAGTTGGTATTCTTCTCTTTCCATATGATTGAAGCATTTATACCGAAAAAAACATATATGTATATATAACAATGACCCTAGCATCGAATTAAGAATAGGAAAAAAGTAACAAAATATTCCCACTATGCTTTCAAATTTTTCGGTATGGGTCAAAAATGATAAATGGTACTACTAGGGTTCAACAGCCACTTACTTCCATTCAAGAACTTAAACAGCGAATCGAAGAAGCTTGTGAACAGACACCAGAAGAAATGTGTCGCAAAGTATGTCGTTCTGTTCAACAGCGCTTCATGTCTGTATGAAAAATGGAGGACAAGTTGTCTCAAACTAGGCTTACATATCAGTTACATTTCTGATTAAATAAATAAAAGAATATATTATAGCATCAGCATATAACTATGAGAGAAAACCTCGGTATAAAGTTTAGTTATAGCGTTAAAAAAAACTTTTTGTTTGATATTCATAAATGGTCCGTTTTGTGATGAATAGACAGTTCTATCCGCTTCCTATAATGTTTCAGCCCTTGAAAATGAATAACAAAATTCAATGTGACCATCTTCATGTTCTAAACCATCGCGTGACCGTTTTGAAACAAGATAAAATGGTAATGAACGTAAGTCATTTGCCAACTTTTGTCCAAAACGTCGTTCGATAGCATCGAGTGTGGGTGTTAAACATGAGGGCCATCTGTCTAATGTAATGGCGGGTGTTAAATCCATCAATTCTGTTTCAAATCCATTTTTAATTGCTTTATAGATATCTGTGAATAACGAATGTGTACGAAATATTTCAAATTGACATAAATAGAGTGATGCCAATTGTTTAGCTGTTTGTATATAACTTGCTGTTATATCATCAGCAGCAGCATCAACATGTTTGATCAACATAACAAATTGATGTAAAAATGGATTTAATTTTAAGATATTTAATAGAGCATGATAAATATATGAGTAACTACCGTATCTATCCAGTAATACAAATATTTCTTTTAACGATAATTTTTCGATTATATCATCAAGATTATTTAACATTTTATTATATTCTATTTCAAACAATAACCGTAACGGTATATAGTATTGAAATAAATACGATCGACGAATTGAACTCGTTAAATCACACATTAATTCAATCCATTCATCATTATAACAAGTTATTTCATGACTATCATCTAATTCTTTTGATAATAATTTTAAATAGAATAACTTTTTACCTAAATCAATGTCTGTTTTCTCATCTAATGAAAATGGTTTTAAACTAACAGCCAACGATGCTTTATCTAAAGAACGATTAACTTGAATACATTTTCGATTATTCCATAGATGTAAATGAAAATTTTCTTTAATACCATACGAATGAAAATAAATTTTATTTTTAATTGTTTTGGATTAAGTAATTTTTTATAATGGCTATTACTTTCTTTGATTGGGCAATAGTGAATGCATGTATCCCATGTGGCATGCGATGGATATAATATACGAATATATGTATGTTGTTTACATTCTTCAATTAAATGAGCATGTTCTACCATAGATATTCATCCAACGACTAGAATAAAATCAGCTTCTCTTACTTGAAAACGTGTTGATAATAAACGTGTTTGACCCGATTTTTCATGTGTACTACCCACAAGAAAAAGAACAGGTGGATCACCTAATTTTACACCGCGTAAATGAATATCTTTTGGGTCTAATGGGCGAATGAGAATAGTACCCGGGTCGACGATCACGCCTAAGTCGCGAGGCGATCGCGATCACTATAAACTCATGGCTGTCGCGTCGCGTCGCGTGATCTTGGTAAATTCATGTTTTTTTAGAAAAAGTATTTTATAGGAATCCAATCGTGATTTCATAGCCACAGCGCGATCGCTATATGCTCGCGAAGTCATAGTGTGATCGCCACATACTCGCGATTTCGCGGCAGGACTCTAAATCTGCATCGATTCCATTCTTAAGAATTCAGTATAGTTTTTCTTAGCGCGTTCACCATCATATTGCTAATTCGCGACGCGACTCATGCCGACAGTAACTGCGGCTATTGCACGACAATCTAGCTGAGTTTTAAAAAGTGTCGACGCGACTCACGGTTTTTTTTTGGTGGATATAGTTAGTACTTCTTGAATTGCAAGAACGGAAAAGAATTCTTT